ATAGGAGCAGAGAGGCTGACGTTTCGGGCCTAGACCCTTCATCAGAAAAGGGGGAGGGGAAGGGGGTTTTGAAATAAATAGGGAGAGAGTGGGAGGCGGATAGAAGAGGGATAGAGGAGAGGATAGGTGGAGAGGAAACAAACAGGTCGAAGAGGCGGGGATGGGGCCAGGAAAGGAGAGCGTAGGTAGGGAGTTAGGAAGGGGATAGGTCAGTCCAGGGAGGACGGACAGGTCAAGGGGGCGGGATGAGGTTGGTCGGTAGGAGATGGAGGTGCGGCTTGAGGTGGGAGGAGGGGATAGGTGGGAGGAAGAACAGGTTAGGGAGGCAGGGACGAGCTGGACTGGTTTTGGGATGCGGTGGGGGGAGGGGAGATTTTGAAACTTGTGAAATCCACATTGATACCATTGGGCTGCAGGGTTCCCAAGCGGAATATGAGTTGCTGTTCCTGCAACCTTCGGGTGGCATCGTTGTGGCACTGCAGGAGGCCCAGGATGGACATGTCGTCTGAGGAATGGGAGGGGGAGTTGAAATGGTTCGCAACTGGGAGGTGCAGTTGTTTGTTGCGAACCGAGCGTAGGTGTTCTGCAAAGCGGTCCCCGAGTCTGTGTTCATCCAGCCCTGCACCTTGTTGTCTCGGATTCTCCAGCATCTGCAGTTCCTACTATCTATGATTAGGAAGTTCCAGAGATTTAGGGTCCAAGCAGCTAATAGCATGGCCACTAATGTTGAAGAAATTAAAACCAAATGTGGAAAGCCCCAGGATTGAAGGCATATAGTGATTTCAAAAGAGCTGTCTGGAACATGTTATCAAATTAGTAAAGTATAAGGCCATGCAAGAATTGGAAAACCAGGGGGAAAATTTTAGCTATTGAAGCTGGCGGTCAAGTAAAAATATCAAATGAGAGGCATGGTGGCTCAGCAGTTAGCACTGCTGCTTCACAACACTAGGGACCTGGGTTCGATTCCAGCCTCAGGCAACCATCTGCCTGGAGTTTACACATTATCTCCATGTCTGCATGAGTCTCTTCCAGGTGGTCCGGTTTCCTCCCATGGTCCAAAGATATGCAGGTTAGATGGATTGTCCATGCTAAATTGGCCATAGTGTCCAGGGATGTGTAGGCTAGATAGATCAGACATGGGAAATGCAGGCTTACAGGGATAGGGTATGTGGCTGGATCTGGGTGGGGTGCCCTTCAGAGGGTCAGCATGGATTCAATGGGCTGAATGGCCTACTTCCAAACTACAGGTGAAATGTCAAAGTTGGATAGACTTCTTTTGAGCAAAGACATTAAGAGGTATGAACTGAAAGTCACCATAGTCCCATAGGATCATTATTAGAAAGAGATGATTGATTAGTTTAACCTGAGGGTCACCATGTCTCAGTTGAGGGGCAAGGCAGAGAATGCAGGGCCTTCATGGTGACCTCAGCGAATATGGGAAATGAAACAGTGCTGATTGTATCACCGTACTGCAAACCTGCTGTACAGCCAGCTAAGCTAAACTGACCATCAATAAAGGGACACCAAATCAATTAGCTTTAAGAAGCTGAACAGCTAATCCTGTTCACCTCTTGCATCCATCATGCACATTACGATTCTAGGACACCGCACTCATGCAGTGACCAACTTCACATTAAAAATATGCATGAATACGCGATAGGAAAAAACAAATCAGCAGTAAAATATTCAGTTAAGACAATTCCTGAAATATGACACTCACGCCTCTGCCAACAAATAATGAAAAGGATTAAGGTCTTCATCATAAACCATCTTCAATCGGTTTATTAGTGCAGAAACAAGTCCTTCCATCAGGCATCGGTGAACAGTTTGGGCTGCAGGACTCAAACAATCAGACCTGTGAGGTGATGGTACAAAGCAACCATTTTAAATAGCAATAACAACATTTCCTCATAATTTCCTAATCAACACACTTTCCTGTTATTAAATTAATGATGCATGTGCCTCACTATTAATTTAATAGCTAGTATACATTTGTCCTGTCAATAACTGATGGTTGCTCCCATTAACATAATCAAGTTGCTGCATTATTAATTTAATGTAGAAATCAATACAATTCCCATGTTGTCCACTTGCACGTGGAAGAGAAACACGAATTGTATCCTTCCCTTTATAATACATTTCCCTTTTTCCACTTTAGTTTTCTTTCTTGCTTGCTTTCATAAGGGCACAGTGACCTACTCAGCTATGATTCCACCAGTAACAAAGACATTGCTCAGCTTCCTTATATTAGATAGTCAGATGCCAGCAGACTTGCTATGGCAAGTATCTCCTTGATCTAAGCTCCATCAACTTGTTTGTTCCAGTATGGCGATTAGAAAAAATTACGATAGACCAGGAAAAGGGCTCACATTTATAGAGCATATTTCATGACCTCAGGGCGTCCCAAAGATCCTTACAGCCAAGAAGTATTTTTTGAAGTGTACTCACTGTTGTGACATAGGAAAAATGGCATCCATAGAGCCATAGATTCATACAGGATGGAAACAGACCCTTTGGTCGAACTCATCCATGCTAAGCAAGCTTCACAAACTAGTTCCACTTGCCTGCATTCGGCCCATATGTCACCGAACCTTTCCTATTCAGGTATCTGTCCAAATGCCTTTTAAATGTTGTAACTGTATTTGCATCTACCACTTCCTCTGGCAGTTCATTCCACCCTTTGCGTGAAAAAGTTGCCCCTCAGGTCCCTGTTAAATCTCTCTCCTCTCAGCTGTCAAAAACAGCAATGTGATAATGACCAGACATTTTAATTTTCCGATGTTGTTCGAGGGATACAGGACACCAGAGAGAACTCTGCTCCATTTCCTTACAAATGTGATAATGGACTTCAGCATCTGAAACATGGAAAGTTTGTTTAAGAGGCTTGAAAGTCAATTTTGAAGAGGCCCAATGTGGAGTGAGATTAGCTAGCTCAGCACTGACCAAAACTCAGCCCATGAATCGCCAGTCAGAAAAATAATGCCATTTAGAAAAACTTCACATGGACAATGCGCAACGTCTAGCCAAGTATGGATGCAAGTTAATACAAACACCACAACAGAGTTTACCAGATAGCAACAGCAGCAGCAGGAAAGCTTTGGGTGACTTGTTCTGCCTAAGCAATCCAAATTCAGCACCCATAATGCCAGCCATCATAGACTTGTAATCTCCAGCTACTCAGTATTTTTAGCAGTCGGGCCAGCAAGGTAGGTTTTAACAGCATTGCTGATAGAAAGTCTTCCTACCCAGGTCTATCCGATGCTTGTTCCAGTGTGGGTCTTGGTATCTCACCCCATTTCTGGAGGCTTTCAAGGCAGCGTCGAAGCTGGAAAAAGAAATCATTTGGATCAACTGGGCAAATTGATAAGTGTAATTATAGGTTCTCTCACTTTTTGATGGGCCAAATTCATGCAGTGGAATCAGATGCTCGGAAATTAACGAACTGGTAGCTTCCCCTCCTGCCAGGCTGGCAGCTTTGTTGCTGAGCCATAATAAGCAGACTCAGACTTACATTACCATTTCAATTCTGATAAATGCAATACTACAGGATGTAACCAAGGTCAACACATTACTTAAAAAAGTGAATAAAATCCCTACAAACATCCCTAAAGAAATCACATGAAGATGTTTTGAATGTTTTAGCTGCGTAGATTTCTGTCCCATACTGTCTCATATGCATGATTATAGTTGTAATCTAGAATTAAAAACTCTATCATTGTCTTGTTTATAGCAACATATTGGAGGCAAGCAAATGCAGCTTATGTCATTACATAATGTTAAGAATCAAGAAAGCAAGCCCAACCTTTCAGAAAAAAAAAGACAACACCTTATACTTATTTATTTAAAGCACTTCAGAACCAATGTAGGGCTTGTTAGCAAAGCTGGCTAAATTGTGGTGCAAAATAATGATACCAAAGTGGGTTTAGTCTCTGTACTGGCTGAGAAAGCTGTCGGGTCCTACCTCCACAAACAACCCCACAGCAAAATTACAGTCTCATGATTACTCAGACAACAAGGATAACCACGAAGAGTGAAAGAGAACACACTGAAGTGCAGTCACTGCTGTAATGCCAGAAATGCAAAAACCGATTTGTTCACAACAACCTCCCAGAAACAGCAAAGTTGTCAAGACCAGATAATCTGTCCAGTGATGCTGATTCAGGGAAAATTGTGTGCTCCTTGAGACAGCTGGCAATGCCTCTTTGGGCCTGATGGCATCCTCCTGTGATATGCTATTTGATGATCCCATGAATAATTCTGCCTTGTTGCTATTTCTGTAAATGCTGTCTGTCACCGAGTTTGGCTAAGTGAGCCAAAAGAATACAGAATCTTTGTCGACCTTTGAGCAAGTGCTGCGAACCAGAAATTCTGTCACCATGCAATTTTTAACAAAATAAACCATAGAATGCATAAGGAGTACACCCAATTGTGGTTGGTTAGTTCAGTTGGCAGACATCTGGTTTGTGATGCACACCAGCTAACGTTATCATGAAGGGCTCTCCTTCGCAATCTCTCCCCTTGCCTTAGGTGTCATGACCCACAGGTTAAACCACCACCAGTTATCTCTCTCCAATGAGAGATCAGCCCCATGCTCCAGTAAGACAATGATTACTTTACCATTTACACTCCCAATGCTTTATGCAAGTAGATCAGTATATCATTATTCTGCCCAGTAAGTGACAGACAACCTTCACTAAGCCTTTGCATTAGACAGGAAAAGAAGTTGAAATCTCCACAGCAATTTAACGTGACAGGTGACAGGTACCTGTTGTTTAAGCCGTCCAACTGGATGGAACCGAGAGCAATATAAATGCGTAGAACACATAATTGTTCTCAGACACTCGTTTTCCTGGACATACAAAAAGCATTCATTAGAAGATGAACACATCCAAAAAACAACTGTTTGTACATGATAAGTAGAAGAATATATTGTTACCATAGCAATTCCATTTGCCCCTCTATGACAATGATGTAACAAAATGATAGCAAGTGCCACGACGTGACTAGCCATTTCTCTTGGAAACAACTTCAAGTCTATTTCACCGTGACTTAGGTGATCCCGGAGCCGTGGACCCTCCTGGTGGTTTAACAGGTCCCAGAGAATTTCCTGCGGAAGAGACGCGACAAAAATTTGTGAATTTACTCAACCAGCTGTTCAAAAACAAACTTTTACCAGATGCTATCCTTGTGATCTCACAACATCCCTCTCCAGCGTTCCCAGATTCCGGGACACTACCTGTCCTCCACCTTCCTTTCCCAAAATGCTCCTCGGCTGTGAAAAATCACTCCTTTCATAGCCAATTCCAGTTGCTCATCTTTGCAATGTTCCTTGATCCCACAGCCACTAAACTTTTATCTTTTTCTTAGTCTCCATATTGGGGGTCATTTAGATAAGTTGGCTGGACAGCTGGTTGCGATGTAGAGTTTTGTTAACAACACGAGTTAATTCCTGCACTGGGTAACGTTTCCATCAAGGACACTTCTTCTCAACCTCTCCCCTTGCTTGAGTTGTGGTGACCCTCAGGTTAAGCCACCACCATCACCAGGTGGACTGAGAAAACCAGGTTTGCTTCAGATCCCACAAAAAAAAATTTGTGGAGTGTCTGCAAGATTTTTTTTTGGAGCAGCTTGTGGTAGAGGCCACTAGGGAAGAGGCCATTCTGGATTTGGTGATGTGTAATGAGGCAGACTTGATGAGGGGAAGGTAAAGGAACCCCTAGGGGACAGTGACCATAATATGGTAGAATTCACCCTGTAGTTTAAAAGGGAGAAGCTGGAATGAAATATAACAGTATTATAACTGAACAAAGTTCAGTAATTACAAAGACATGACAGAGGGGCTGACCACAGTTGACTGGAAGAGCAGCCTAGGACGGAAGATGAAGGAGCAGCAATGGCAGGTGTTTCTGGAGGTGAGGTTGTTGACTTGCTTGCCGAGTTGGCTGGTGAAAGTTCAGACGTTTTATCACCACACTAGGTAACATCATCAATGCAGCCTCCAATGAAGTGACGTTGTTCTACTCCGCTTAGTATTTACATGATCTGGTCTGTTGAGGTGTTTTGTGTCATGTCTTGTTCTTTTTTGCAAAAATTTGTATATGTGGTCTAATTCCACATGTTTATTGATTGCATTATGAATGGTGAACCAGGCGTCTAGGAAATCCCGTGCACGTCTATGGTTTGACTTGAGCTAGGATGGTCACATTGTCCCAGTTAAATTGATGGCCTTCGTTGTCAGAGTGTACTGAAATGAGGGAAAGTTTGTCCTGTCGTTATGCTGCTTGCTGGTGATCCTGTATCCTGATGGCTAGTTTCCCTCCTGTCTGGCCAATGTAATGTTTTTGGCAGTCCTTGCACGGTATTTTGTACACTACGTTGGTCCTGCATGTCGTGGGTATGGGGGGGCCAGTCTATTAGGTCATATTGTGTCCTCCTGGTGTTGTCTATCTAGTAGGCATCTGCGGATGAAGTTGGTGGGTATCCATTTATAGCAAAGACCTTGTATGGGTGCTCTTCCTCCTTCTTGCAATGTTCAGGTGTGTTGCAGCCCATTTAAATAGTGTCCTTACACAGCTTTGTTTGTAGATGTTGAGGTAATTGCTGTGGAAATTGATGATTTGGTCAGTGTGGGCTGCCTTCCTGTATCCTGTGGTTTGCAATTCCCCGTTCATCATTCATTCTACCCTGAGTCTAGGAACGGAAGTTGATTGTTGTTTTCCTCTTCTCTTGTGAATTTGATCCTGGTGAATATGTTGCTGACAAGGTGGTGTCTCTCTTCTAACTTAGTGTGTTTAATGATGACAAACGTGTCATCCACGTATCATATCCACTGTTTTGGCTGTTTGCAGGGGAAGGTCGTGCGTTCCAATATTTGCATGATTGTCTCTGCAATAAGTCCTGAGATGGGTGACCCCATAGATGCGCCATTAATCTGTTTGTATGCGTGGCCATTCAAGGTGAATTGTGTGGTGAGGCATAGGTCCAGTAGTCTGAGTATGTTGTCCTTGCTGATTGAGCCGTCAGTTGGCGTTCTTGTTTCTTCTAGTAATGTGACCAGAGTTTCTTTGGCTAGTGGGATGTCAATGGGCATGAATAGTGCTATAACGTCAAAGGATACCATAATCTCGCTGTTATTGATTTTGACGTTCTTGAGGTTATTAAGGAACTCCTGGATTGAGTGGATGGAGTGGGGGTGATCTGTCGACCAGCTGTTTCAGTCTTTGTAGTAGGTCCTTGGCTAGCTTGTACGCAGGTGTGCCTGGTAGGGAGACAATGGATCTGAGGGGGATGTCCGGTTTGTGAACTCTGGGGAGTCCGTAGAAGCGGGGAGTGTTCCAGCCTTCTAGTTTCATTTTTATGGGGTCTGTCTTGGTTTATTTGAATGCATTCTATGGGGGCCACCCATCTCAGGGCTTATTGCAACGTATTCACCAGGATCAAATTCACAAGAGAAGAGAAAAACAATAATGAACTTCCATTCTTAGATGTCAGAGTAGAATGAATGATGAACAGGGAATTGCAAACCACAGTATACAGGAAGGCAACCCACACTGACCAAATCCTCAATTTCCACAGCAATCACCCCAACATCCACGAAGCTGTGTAAGGACACTATTTAAACAGGCTGCAACACACCTGAACATTGCAAGAAGGAGGAAGAGCACCCATACAAGATCTTTGCTATAAATGGATACCCCACCAACTTCATCCGCAGATTACCCGCCTACTAGATTGACAACACCAAGAGGACACAATACCCACGACATGCAGGACCAGCGTAGTGTACGAAATACCGTGCAAGGACTGCCATAAACATTACATTGGCCAGACAGGAAGGAAACTAGCCATCAGGATACACAAACACCAGCTAGCAACATAACGACAGGACATACTTTCCCTCATTTCAGTATACTCTGACAACGAAGGCCATCAATTTAACTGAGACCATCCTAGCTCAAGTCAAACCATAGACATGCACGGGAATTCGTAGAGGCCTGGTTCTCCATTCATAATGCAATCAATAAACATGTGGAATTAGATCCCATATACAAACCCTTGTAAAAAAAGAACCGGAAATGACCCAAAACACCTCAACAGACCAGATCATGTAAATACTAAGCGGAGTAGAACAACTATCGCTTCATCAGAGGCTGCATTGATGATGTTACTTGGCATGGTCACAAAACGGCTGAACTATAACAACCACCTTGGCAAGCAAGTCAACAACCTCACCCACAACCCGAACTACAAATCTTTGCAAGAACCTTTAAGTTTCTGGAAGTAATTCAGAAGGCACAGCAGAAATTCATCCCAAGGAAGAGACATACTAAGGGTCAGGGACAGCATAAAAATAAAAGAAAAAGCATCTTCTTGTGAAGATTAGTGGGAAGCCTGAGGATTGGGAAGCCTTTAAAAGCCAGCAGAGGGTAACTAAATAGAGCAATAAGGTGGAGACAAGATGAAATATAAGGGCAAGCTTGCTAGTAATATAAAAGAAGATTGCAAGAGTTTTTTTTGATATATAAAAGGTAAGAGAGAGAGAGGGTGGGCAGTGGACCAGTGGAAAATAAGGCTGGAGAAGAAGTAATGCAGCACAAAGAAATGGCAAAGAAAGTGAATCAGTACTTTGCTTCAGGTTTCACCATGGAAGACACCAGCAGCATTCCGGAACTGGAGAATCGGGGGCAGAGGCCATCAATAAGGAGGTGCTGTGGAAGCTGAAAGATCTGAAGGTGGATAAATCAACTGGACCTTTCAAACTACACCCTAGGGCTCTGAAGGAAATAGCTGAGGAGATTGCGGAGGCACTGGTGGTGATCTTTCAGGAATCACTGGAGTCAGGGAGGATCCCAGAGGACTGTAAAATGGTTAATGTAACATTCCTGTTTACGGAGGGAAGGAGCAGAAGACAGGAAATTACATACTGGTTAGCTTGACCTTAGCCATTGATTTTACAGTCCATTATTAAGGATGAGATTGCAGAGTACTTGGAACTGTGTGTCAAAATAGGGTTGAGTCAGCACGGCTTTGTCAATGGGAGGTCACGCCTGACAAATGTTAGAATTATGTGAGGATCTAACGAGCAAATTAGACAAAGGAGAGCCAGTGGCTTGATCCATTTTGATTTCTAGAAGGCCTCTGATGAGGTGCTGCAGAGGGAAATGCTAAATAAGGAAAAGAGACCTTGGAGTGCAGGTTCATAGTTCCTTGAAAGTGGAGTCGCAGATGGATCGGATCATGAAGGCGGCGCTTGGTATGCTTGTCTTTATTGGTCAGTGCATTGAGTATAGGGGTTGGGAGGTCATGTTGCGGCTGTACAGGACATTAGTTCAGCCGCTTTTGGAATACTGCATGTAATTCTGGTCTCCCTCCATTAGGAAGAATGTTGTGAAACTTGAAAGGGTTCAGAAAAGATTTACAAGGATGCTGCCAGGGTTGGAGGGTTTGAGCTACAGGGAGAGGCTGACTAGGCTGAGGGGTTTATAAAATCATGAGGGGCATGGATAGGGTTAACAGACAAGGTATTTTGCCCAGGGTGGGGGAGTCCAAAACTAGACGGCACAGGTTTAAGGTGAGAGGGGAAAGATTTAAAAGGGACCTAAGGGGTGACTTTTTCATGCAGAGGGTGGTGCTTGTATGGAATGAGCTGCCAGAGGAAGCAGAGGAGGCTGGTACAATTACAATGTTTTAAGAGGCATTTGGATGGGTACATGAACATAAGAACATAAGAACTAGGAGTAGGAGTAGGCCATCTGGTCCCTCGAGCCTGCCCCGCCATTTAATAAGATCATGGCTGATCTTTTTGAGACTCAGCTCCACTTACCCGCCCACTCACCATAACCCTTAATTCCTGTACTGTTCAAAAATTTATCGAGCTTTTCCTTAAAAACATTCAGCGAGGTAGCTTCAACTGCTTCACTGGGCAGGGAATTCCACAGATTCACAACCCTTTGGGTGAAGAAGTTCCTCCTGACCTCAGTCCCTCATCTGCTTTCCATTATTTTGAGGCGATGCCCTCTAGTCCTAGTTTCACCTGCTAGCGGAAACAACCTTCCTGCCTCCGTCTTATCTATTCCCTTCATAATCTTATATGTTTCTATAAGATCT